ACCCTGTGTCTAACTCAACTTCCTCCAACAGTCTTCCCCATTTCACTAGACAACAACTCCTTCCTTCCAGCCACCTATGCTAAAACATCCCTTTCCTTCAGACCTTTCCAACTTCCCATTCAAAACATATCCAAGTCCAACCGTCATCCTCTGTCTCCTGGATTCCCACAAAAACCTCTGCCGGCTCCCTTTGCTCCCCTCCTCCCCAGTGCAGTGGTAAAAGCAGAAGTCATACCACAGCCCTTCTCTCCTCAAAACCCAAGGTCAAGTCAAGGCTTTCCCATAGCCTGCACAGCCCAAAGAGCTTGCCTCGTCTCCTGAGTCCCTGCTCTCACCCGGTGCATCCTGCCCCACAGGCCTGTGTACCGTCAACAAGTGCGCTGGTCTGGCGCCCACCTCTGCCTGCAGCCTACCTGCGCGCTCACTGCCCTGCATCCTTAGGGTCTCTGGCCCATGTCACTTGGCAGGACCCTTCTGTGACCAGCCCATGGGAAGCCCCCCTCCCCTGCTTTGTCTTCACAGAACTCCCCAGCACCTGACACACAGATCAGAGTGGCTCATTTCCTGATTGTCTGGTTATGCGCTTCGATGTGCCTGCTGGAAGGTGATCCACCGCGAGAAAGGGGAACAGTTTGATAATTCAGCTGTCTAGACTGAGACTGTCCAAAGACAGTCAGAGATTCCCAAGCAGTTTTATTACCAGTCAAGCATTTGGCAAACATGCAATGTCTTTTGTGCCTAGCATTTAGAACTTTAACGAGCCCTTCGGCAGGGATGGGAGCTCGTCAGCAGGAAGGACCTACTTGTCTACAGCCCTTGTCGATGAATCCTGGACCCCTATCAGCATGACTAAATTAAATGTTTTATCAGCAGGGAGTGCCTGCTAGCCAATGTCCCCACTACAAGGTCGTCTGTCTTGATGGCATCAGTGTCACACTGATGGAAACAGGACGCCAGCCCTGAGACCCACAGGCAGAGGAGGCCACAGGTGCTCTCGAGTCTTAGAAAGGAGGTACAACCCTGCAAATGAACTGAAATCAGTGTATTACACTTATTTTTAAGATTTATTTATTTATTTGAGAGGCAGAGTTACAGAGAGGGAGGGAGGGAGGAAAGGAGAGGGGGGAGAGAGGGAGAGAGAGGGAGAGAGAGGGAGAGAGAGGGAGAGAGAGGTCTTCCATCCTCTGGCTCACTCCCCAAATGGCCACAACAGCCGGAGCTGGGCTGATCCATAGCCAGGAGCCAGGAGCCGGGAGCCTCCTCCAGGTCTCCCATGTAGGCACAGGGCCCCATGTACTTGGGCCATCCTCCACTGCTTTCCCAGGCTATTAGCAAGGAGCTGGATTGGAAGTGGAGCAGCTGGGACTCAAACTGGTGCCCATGTGGGATGCCGGCACTGCACCGCTGTGCCACAGTGCCAGCCCCTGAATGTTCTTTAAATGGGCAAACTGTATGACATGTGAATTACACCTCACTGTAACCATTATGTTTCCTAAAAAGATAAACAGAAAAGGGGCTGTAACTGGAGGGAGCTGCGATTTTGCAGGCACAGAGGCAAAGTGACACAGAGCTGAGAATCGGACCCCCTCCCTCCCTTGCCTGAGACAGACCACTGCATGTTGGAGGGGAACAATCCAGAGACCTGAGAGAAGAGGGGCAGGAGCCCTCCCGCTCATACCAGTCTGGCTGAGTCCTTCCCACTGAATTGTGTAAAAGCATCACCTCACATGTGCAGACACTCAAGCCTCCACTCCCTGAGCAAAGGGCACCAGGAAAGCTCCCACTCTCTCTCCAACCCTGCAGCCCACGTGGCATGGATCTGAGGGTTCTACCAATCTCATCCAACAAGGCAAGCTCAGTCCCAAAGATTCCAAAACTGAGAGGAGCACACTGTTAGTCTTGGGGTATCCCCATGGTTGTCTAGGTCAGTGCAGGAGCTGAGGGGCCAAGGGGTTTGTCAACAGTCTCCCCCCAGTGCCCTGCTCTCGTTGCCCCTCTCTTGCCCACCCCACCCCATCCACATGCAGACACACCCCAGCTTACCCCTGGGTTATATCCCCTTAAGCCCAATGCAAATTGCAAACATCCTAAAAGTAGAAAACGCACTGAATACACTTAGCCTACTGCCACAGCTGACAGCCCATTCCAGGACCCCCAGTGAAACTTCACCACCACCACTGCAAGGTGGGGCCTCTGAGGGGCAAGCGGACCATGAGGCTACGCCCCATGCACACACTCACAACTGCATGAGTGATTCCTGACAAAGAATGAGTCTGGCTCCATCTCCCCCTGCAGGCTCACCTGGCCTCTGCCGCTTCCACGCAGCAGGAAGGCCTCAGCAGATGCAGCTCCTCGATGCTGGACTAGCCAGCTTCCAGACTGTGAGCCAAACAAACCTCCATCGTTGAGACCACCCCCCCGCCCCCGGTCTGTCGTACTGCGGGACAACAGCACAAAGTGGACCACCTGGCCCGCACCGACCACTGCGCCGCAGTGACACTGCACACCTGGGGCGGCCCAGGAGCTGCAGGCCCCTGCTGCTGCCCAGCCTCAAGAGGGCTGCACCCCAGACAACGGATCCAAATGCAAACCCAAGGATCGTTTCTACTGAGTGCCCATCGCTTTCACACCACTGGAAAAGCAAAAATCTTCAAAGCGCAGACCTCATCAGCTAGTCTACTCTTATCCTTATCTTCTCGCCCTGAGTCTACTCCCTCAGGGTGCATTTTTCTCTCACTTGCTCCTAGTGCTCTTCCTTATCCCCACCTGGCTCCCTTGTCTCTCCTTCCCTCTCAGAGATCTGGGTGAGCTCGGCTGCCAGGGCAGTCGGCCCTCTGCAGGAAGGCAGGGGTCAGCCAAGGCACCCTCCCTGGCAACCCAGCCTGGCATCGTGGGGTTACCATGGGCTCCTCTGCACGTGTCCCTGGTGTTCCGAGGGGATGATGGAGATGTGTCCAAGGAGAAATCCCTATGTGCTTCTCCACCATCAGACAAGAAGGGCTATTAAGAGCCCTGACCCTTTAAGACGCACTCTAAAATGTCTACAGATGAAATGGCATGTGTGTTTGAGGATTGATTCAAAACACAGGCGAAAAAGAGCAGGAAGGGGGTATGTAAATGAAAGGAGACTGGTCAAGAATTGGTAACTGCTCAACACCCATGAGGAGCAAGTGGAGGTTCATCACGGTATTTCTTCTGCTGTAACAGGAACCAGAACTTCTCTAGTGGATTTCATAGGTTCCTACAGAGAACAGTCACCAAAGTGATACCCGTTAGGACAACTACTGTCTTTAAAAAGGAAAGGAGGAAGAAAAAAGCATTATCAAAATGGGAAGAAACTGGAGTAACTGTGTACTGCTGGTGGCAATACAAAACGGTGCAGCTACTTTGGAAAATAGCATGGCAGGGGCCGGTGCAGTGGTGTAGAGGTTAAGCCTCTACCTGCAGTGCCGACATCCCATATGGGCACTGGTTCAAGTCCCATCTGTTCCACTTTCAATCTAGCTCCCTGCTAATGTGCCTGGAAAAGCAGCAGAGGATGGTCCAAGTGCTTGGGCCCCTGCACCCACATGAGAGGCCCAGAGGAAGCTCCTGGCTTCTGGCTTTGGCCTAGCCCAGCCCCAGCCCTTGTACCAGTGGATGGATGATCTCTCTCTCTCTTTCTCTCTCCTTTCTGTATCTCTGCCTTTCAAATAAAAATTGAAAAACAGTATGGCAGCTCCTCAAAAAATTAAAAACAGAGGGACAGATGTTGCAGACAGTGGGCTAAGGCACCACCTGTGACATCAGCATTCTATATCAGAGCGCTGACTGGAGTCCTCACTGCTCTGCTTCTAAGCCAGTTCCCTGCTAAGTTCTTGGGCCACCGCTACCCACATGGAAGACCTGGATGGAAGTCCAGGCTCCTGATTTCAGTCTGGCCCAGCCCTGGCTGTTGTGGCCACTTGAGGAGTGAACCAACAGACGGAATATCTCTTCCTCTGTCTCCCCCTCTCTGTCACTCTGCCTTTCAATTAAGTAAAATAAATCTTTCTTAAAAAATTAAACACAGGCCGGCGCCACAGCTCACTTGGCTAATCCTCTGCCTGCGGCACCAGCACCCTGGGTTCTAGTCCCAGTTGGGGTGCCAGTTCTGTCCTGGTTGCTCCTCTTCCAGTCCAGCTCTCTGCTGTGGCCCGGGAGTGCAGTGGAGGATGGCTCAGGTCCTTGGGCCCTGCACCTCCATGGGAGACCAGGAGGAAGCACCTGGCTCCTGGCTTCAGATCGGCACAGTACGCCGACCATAGTGGCCATTTGGGGGTGAACCAATGGAAAAAAGGAAGACCTTTCTCTCTGTCTCTCTCTCTAACTCTGCCTGTCAAAAAAAAAAAAATTAAACACAAGAGTACCCATTATGTCCAATAATTCCAATGCTAGGAATATAATCATAAGAATTAAGACTAGAATATAGAGATATGTGCACACCCATGTATGTGCAGCAATACCCACAACACCCAAAAGGAGGAAGAAACCCAAGTGTCCATCAGTGGATGAGTAGATAAATAAAATGTATACATACAGTAGAATATTTTTCAGCCTTAATAACGAAGGAAATTCTGACACACGCTACACATGGATGAACACTGAAGACATTATGCCAAGTGAAATAAACTGTATACAAAGGGGCAAATGTTGAATGATTCCACCTGCACGGCATCACTAGAGTAGGCAAATTCATAACAGACAGAAAGAAGAAGGGTGGCTGCAGGGCCTGGGGGCAGGGAGAGGCAGCTACTGTTCAGTGGGTAGAGTTTAGTACCAGGTGTGCAGGGTGTGGAGATGGTGGTATGGACTCCATGCCACTGAACGGGATGTATGCTGAAAATGCTAAGTTTTGTGAAGTGTATTTCACCAACCAACCAACCAAACCCAACCCAACCCAACCCAAGGAACAGAAAAAGATCTCTGTATCCAAACTCTCAAGTCTTCGAGGCCAGCTCAGGTCAGCCGGGACATCATACCTTAGTGAGGTTCTCAAAACAAGGGCGTGGTGAGCGTTGCTGGGGAAGCAGAGCTGCGGAGAAAGCAAAAACTACCTAGGCACATGGTCTAGTGTCCACACACCACCTAAGGAAAGAAGAAAAACAAAACGCTTTTTTAATGAGCTTGAAGGTCAACATGAAAATAAGGAAAGACAGTCTTAAAAACTAAAGCATAACACAGTGTAGGTGCAGCCCCGAGAGAAACCTCTAGGCATAAGTCAAAGCAGATCCCAAATGAAGCCCCAGACAAACCCTCCCCAGCCCCAGCCCCAGCCCCAGCCCCAGCCCCAGCCCCGTTCCCTTCCTGTCTCAGAGCCCTGCCACTCCCTGGCTCGTTCCCTTCCTGTCTCAGAGCCCTGCCACTCCCTGGCTCATGACCGGGGCAGGATTCTTCACCTCAGGGCCTGTTTCTTCAGACGTAAAATGTGGCTATTACAGAGATTAAGTGAGTTAATATCTGCAAAGCTCTCCCAACGCCGCCTTTCACAATGCGATCACGTGTTGTGGAGTCCTCTGCCCATCCATCTCAGGGACCAGCCAGTCTCAGGGCGCCCGCCGACTGCTGAGGGCAGCTTGGTGAGAGACGGGCTGCAGCCCGGCCCACCCTTCACACAGCTCCTCCTCCAGGGCTCAGGGTGCCGCTGGGGAGCAGGGGGCTTGCGAGTGGGAAGAGGAGGGGAGGGGCAAGCGGAAGCAGCGACAAGGACGAGAGGAACTGGGGAGAGCCGGCAGAGCTGCAGCTGCCCCAGACTCAGGTTTCACTGCTACTGCTCAGGGAGACTGGTAGGTCCGGGCGGTGCTTGCCCCACAACTGACAAGTTCTTACTTCTGCACACACTCCTGCTAGTCCCGCATTCCTTCACCTGACTTGATTTTTGTCTGAACTCTGACGGACCATTAGCGGGGATTCCAAACAGGCACAGAGACAGCATTAATGGAAAACTAGAAGCGAACAAAGGAAACCAATGATCCCAACTCCTCAGAGAGCGAACAAGGAAGCCTTCCCTGGGGCTCCTCCTTCTCTTACTTGGACCTCGCTGTTTTAAACATAAACCAGCAGGCAGGCCCTGTACCGTACAAATGAGGACAAAAGTCAGAGTCGGGGTCAGGGGGTGCCTGAGGCCTGTCATCCAGTAAGAATAAGCTCCAGGGTGCTCTGGTGAGTGTACCTGGTTATTTCTCCCATTGACCTTGGTTCCTCCAGCCGTGGGACCCTATGGGTTGCAGTAACATGGGTTGGTTGCAGAGGGGGCAAACACACCTGAGCATTAGGCTTCACTGACCCCGGCCAGGTCACTCTCATCACGTGCTCACAGGCACATCTCACGGCTGTACAGGAGCCGGACAGTTTCCGACTCATGAGTGAGACAGGACTAATGCTCAGCATCCCCCCGCTCCCAAGGACCAGGCTGGCCCTGATTCAGACTCCGACCTGGGCGGTCAGCTTTCACATTGCCATTTCCCAACACCCTCATCTTCCCAAGGAGCTGCTGTGTATGGCACAAATTTTCCTTCAATTTGGTATTGAGCCATTTACTACAGCCCTTGGCACAATTATGACACACCTTAGGGTGTTGCAAGAACGGGATTAGAAAACACTGTTCTAGATTATTCTAGATTAGAGATTCCTCCAGCACCAGAAAGATGAAGGGCTCTCAGAGCCAGACAAACGGTAGGAAACCACTAAACATAAGCTGCTTACTCTTCAGGCAAGGCAACTGAGGCTCGGGGAGTGAGGTGCTTAAATGAGGAAGATGCACATTCCCGCAATTCCAACCTCAGTCTTCCCAGGCACTTCTCCATCAGATGCAAAAGACAGGTCTACCCAAGCCTCAGATCAGTGACTTCAGTCCTGGGTGCACACTATAAACACCTGCGGAGCAATCCTAACCTCGGCCTCAGCCCAGACCAGCGAAATCACATCCTGGGTGCGTCCCTCCCACCTTCCCAAGCAGCCCCCCAGCCCCACACTGCTCCCTGTACTCCTCCTGCATCTTCTGCCTCAAGGGCTTCTCTCCATCCTCACTGCTCTTCCCTGTGGTACCCACACGGCGCACTCTCTCCTCTCTCTGCTCAAATGCTTCTCTGACTTCCCCACTTAAAATAGAAAATTTGCTTCCTCACCTGCCATCCCTTCATTTTTCTCCATATCACTTTCTGTATCTCTCATACTTTGCGTTTTCCTTGTTTATCGTCCATGAACCAACACGTACTAGAGTATGAGCTCAGGAGGGAAGGATTTCGTTTTGTTCCCAGCTCTATTCCCAGTGCCTAGAACAGTGCCTAGCACCTAGCTGGCCCTTGAGGATTTATTCTAGGAATTAATGAACACACCAGAAACACGGATGTCAAACATGACTTGCACTGGAAGATCACAGAAAAGCCGATTACACCAAAACCACTTTCTACATCGATTTCATCTCAGCCAAAGCCTTTTTCAAAACAGGCTAGAAGCCTAATGAAATAGAAACCATAGAAAAATAAGTTTTTCCAGTCAATGAATCCAATCCAAATGGGTTTGTAAGTCGAAGACAATGGAGACTGTGGAGACAGAAAATAAAGTTGAAAGAAAGTGATGGGACAAATAGATTTCAGATACCATCCTGGTTTGTGCAGGCTCACAAGAAAGCCAAGAGCAGGCGTGGCTGCACTCAGACAGGAAACGGTTTGCAGCAGCCCAGAGCAGACGGACGCCTTTCCTGGGTAACAGTCTGTGTCACTGCCAGCCTACCGCCACCCCACTGACCTGACACACACTGGCCACATGTCGAAGAGGACACCCTTTCTTCAGCTCCGTTTCAGATCCCACTTCCACAACTCAATGAAACCACTGGAAAGACTTGAAGCTTTTCCAAAGTGGGGTGCACTGAAACCCTTTGTCAAGGCAGTCACTCAGCAGCTGGGGAGTGTCCTGCCACCACCAAGTCCCACTGATGCCACCTGCTCCATCCCATGCCTGCCAAGCCCTTGGCTGTACTCTCTCCTTCGCCACCTTGGCCTCTCCCCACACCACCCTCAGTCATCCCGCATGTCCAAGTCTGTCTGATCTTCCCTGAAACACCCTTCTCATCAGGTCACTATCTCTGCTCTGAAACCTAAAACCAACAGCCTACTCACCAGACCCTACCCTCAGGGCTAGCTTCCATGAACGTCCACTCTGGACCTAGCCCAGGGCTACTGATCGTGTATTCCAGCAGCTGCTCCTTCATGTGCCTCACAGTATGAAGTCACTGTAAGAGATGAGGTTGTGGAGGCTGGAACAGACTGGACCACGTCTCGCATCTCCAATCCCGTCATGAGCACTTCATTCTCCTCCACACCGTCCACACTCACTCTCTCCAACCCCAGTTTCCACACTGCCCTTTCCCTCCCCCTCTCTGGAAGGTGCACACACGTGAGCATGTACATCCATTCACTCAGTGACACTCTGTGGGTTCCAGGGTGAACAGAACAGACTGGGTTCCTGCCCGGGTGGCACCGACAGCCCACTGGAGGGAGTCAGCTAGTCACAGAGCCTGTCTCAACTGGGCTTCCTCACCTGAAAGGATCGGGAATGAAGATATTCTCAATTCTGAAGCAAGGGAGACAGCAGCCACACGAATACGGGAAAGAGGTTTGGGCAAAGGGAAGAGCAGGTGGGTTGGCCTGAAGCAGCAGGGGAAGGGGTGGGTGAGGAGGTGAGCGAGGCCACTGCAGGGCTGTGGCTCTCACTCTGGGGTGGAAGGCGACAGGAGGTGATGATCTCTGAGAGTTTAAAGTTTTTTATTTACTTGAAAGGCAGAGAGACAGACAGAGAAGGAGACACAGGAAGAAACATAGGCAGAGAGAGAGCTCTTTTACCCACCAGTTCACTCCCTCAAATACCCACAACAGCCAGGAGCCAGGAACTCCACCTGGGACTCCCATGTGGGTGGCAGGGACTCAGTACGTGGGCCATTACCTGCTGTCTCTCAGGGTGCACATTAGCAGGAAGAAGAAGCAGGAGCAGAGGCAAAGCAGGACTCAATGCCAGGCGCACCAATATGGCACATGGACATCTCAAGTGGTATCTTAACTGCTGTGCCACAACACCCGCCCAATTTATATTTTAAAATGATGCTTCCCTGGGTAAGCATTTGGCATAGGAGTTAAGACACCCACTTCCCATATTGCTTCAATGCCCAGCTCCGGCTCCTGATTCCAGCTTCCTGCTAATGCAGACCCTAGGAGGCAACACAGATGGCTCAAGTCACTGGGTTCTGGTTACCCACAGAGGAGACCTGCATTAAGTTCCAGACTCCCAGCTTTGACCTGCTCCAGCCCTGGCTGTTGTGGGCATTTGAAGAATGAACAAACAGATAGGGGCTCTTTCACTCTCTCTGATTCTCTCTCCGCCCTTCAAATAAATAATTAAAATATTATTAAAATGATCTTTCCCCTCTTGACTATACATCTCTGCCATTTATGATTAAGAACAATTGAGGGGGCCGGCGCCGCGGCTCAATAGGCTAATCCTCCACCTAGCGGCGCCGGCACACCGGGTTCTAGTACCAGTAGGGGCGCCAAATTCTGTCCCGGTTGCCCCTCTTCCAGGCCAGCTCTCTGCTGTGGCCAGGGAGTGCAGTGGAGGATGGCCCAAGTGCTTGGACCCTGCACCCCATGGGAGACCAGGAGAAGCACCTGGCTCCTGCCTTCGGATCAGCGCGGTGTGCCGGCCGCAGCGCGCCAGCTGCGGCGGCCATTGGAGGGTGAACCAACAGCAAAAGGAAGACCTTTCTCTCTGTCTCTCTCTCTCACTGTCCACTCTGCCTGTCCAAAAAAAAAAAAAAAAAAAAAAAAGAACAATTGAGGGATCTCCTCCTCTTGTGAACATCCCCAAATTTTCTAAACTGAGAATATGTTATTTCTTAAATGAGGGGGAAAATGATCTGTCCAACTCTTAAAGCTCAAACCCCACCTTAGCGGGCTGGTACTTTGGTGTAGTGGGTCACGCCGCCACCTGCAGTGTCAGTATCCCACACGTGTCTCTCTGTTCAAGACCCGGCTGCTCCACTTCCGGTCCAGCTCTCTGCTATGGCCTAGGAAAGCAGTAGAAGATGGCCCAAGTCCTTGGACCCCTGAACCTGTGTGGGAGACCTGGAAGAAGCTCCTGGCTCCTCGTTTTGGATCGACGCAGCTCCGGCCATTGTGGCCATTTGGAAAGTGAACCAGTAGGCGCAAAAGCTCTCTTTCTCTGTCTGTCTCTTTCTCTAACTCTGCCTTTCAAATAAATAAATAAATCTAAAAAAAAAAAATTCTACCGCAGCCCCAAAGCCCCTCCCCCCACATTTGCCAGGGCTGCACCTCACAACCCAGCCAGCAGGCCACCAGGATGGATAAAGCCAGCAAGAAGTGGCTCAGCTGCCCAGGACGGCAGCAACAGACACTCATGGAGCCCGCTCGCCGCCCTCACTCCTTGAGGGCCTGTTGCTTAGCATGTCCCTTCGGGTGCCTTCCCCGCAGGGCCTGTGTAGGTCCTAGTCTTTCTCTCAGTTGGCTTAATTAATTCCCGGTAATTAAAGCCACTGTTTGGTGATGAACTACTAAGAGTATGACCTCTCCCAGGGGTGTAAATATTTTAAAAGAGGACTCAAAGATCCAAGTGCAGACGCCTTCAGACGGTTCATACTGCATGAACAGGGCTCTCTGCTCCTAAAGGGGGCAGGTGCCTCAGGAGACAAGCAAAACATCCAAAGGTGAGAAGACACCACCACCCCTCCCCTACATGCCCATGCCACCCATTCTGGGAGCTAGAGAATGCTCCCCATGGTAAGCCAGCCACCTTACAGGGTGACCTGAACACCAGTAACCACCACCCCTAAAAGGAAGGCTCCTGAGGACTTCTTGTCTGGCAGCAATTGCTCTCCAGCTGCTTGCAGTGAAAGACTCCTACAGGGCAAAAGTCATCTCACGTGCTTCTCTCGTGCTCCAGAGCTCTGGGCCCAGCCCTGCAGCCCTGCAGCCCTTTCACCTGCACCTGCACCTGCACCTGCACCTGCACCTGCGGATGATGGAGCAAGCAGGGCTCCGCGGCAGGAAGGCCCTGTGGGACTGTAAAGACGAGAAAACACTCATTAAGGGTAACGGCGGTACTGACCACACCTCCACTATTTTTAAGGCCTAATGAAGTGCTAGACAGTGAAGCAGCCTTTACAACCTTGACCAGTTCAGCTCTGGTCTGGAAAGATGAGAGCAGCCCTTCCCCACCCAGAACAGAGTACAGCCGGGCCAAGCCCAAGAGAGTCTGCAGAGCTGCTCAGTCAGTGCCCAGCCCTGGGCTCCCTTCTCTGAAAAACGCAAAAATGGCCACAGACATGTCTTCAGTCTCCACTGGCCCCGTGCTAGCTCGCGGTCATGCTGGACACCTGCCCCCAGAACCTGTCCCTACGGCCCCACTCTGCCCTTCGCCTTGCCAAAGAGACAACTCCAACTTTCGAACCGAATTGGCAGAAGGCGTGGAATGTTGTAAACCACAGCAAATCAAGGGAATAAGAGTGGAGCCAGAGTCCATGCCGCTGGTTTACACTCAGCTCCAGCCTGCCAAGGCCAGTGTGGGTAAAGTGTTCCAATACCCAGTACTGGATGAGAGCAAGGAGCAGTCCTCCGCAGGGCACGTGAGGCCCACATGGGAACTCTACAGGCCCTTCCTGTGCCTCAGACCCAGGCCTCCAGCACCCCGTGTCAGCATGTGGGCCACACCAGAGAGCAAGCGACTTCTACAGAGGCACCTGACTAACTAAGGAAGAAAATACACAAGCCAAGCTAGAAAGGCAGTTTACTGCTTGTCTCCAAAATGGAAACTGATTCACTGGTTGGTTTGTAAAGAAGGAATGTAACCCTGTATAAAAATTCAAGTGGTAGGAAGAAAATATAAAGTATGTACCAGCCCCTTTCACCACGCAACAGCAAAAACCTTGCATTAGGCCCTTCTGAGTTGGACCCTGCTGCAGGTAGGTCTCAAGTTCTCTGGACAAACTGTGCAGCTGTTTGCAGAAGAACCTCAAAACCCCCTCTGGGCCACTTCAAAAGTTTCTGTTAAAAATTTTTCAATTGTTCAAAAAAAAGTTGTAGATTTCAGGATCTCCCAGTGGTCCCAATAACCTGGCGCCCTCCAGACAAGATATAAACTGAAGCTCCACAGACCCCAGCCCAGCACACACTGATCAGAGACCAGGCGTTAACGTGGCCAGCAGACACTCCTCTCCCTCGCTCAATCCTGCAGCAGTCTGTCTGCTGCCAGCCACACCTGCAGCAGCACATCCCCGGGCGCAGAGAGAAAGGGGCTACTCACACCTCTCAGCGCATCACCTTCAGAACCTGCCTGCAATGACAAGGCAGGGACTAAGGAAACTCACACAGGGAGCAGACGTCAGCCTGTAAGTGCGGTCAGGAGGAATGGCTCTGGTGACACCGAATGTGAAGGGTGATCCTTAACTTCTCTCCTGGAAGGGGCCGGCTGTGTCATTTCTATGCACACACGTACTCACTGCAAATGCCTGGCTGGAACAGCGCTTTGGTCCTCTGAAAAGCCTCAAAATGTTTAGCTAATGGATATCTCATCCTACACCCCTGGAGGAAGTGAAGGCAAGCTCGGGACAGATGGGAACACAGACCACACGGGTGCATCTGATTGCTTCAACTCAGCCATCCACAACTCTCCTACCCAGAATGCTCCTATTTTTTTAAGAACAGAGAAGTAAAAAAATCTTACATATAGAAACAACCTAATACAAACACCAAAACAGTAGTTCTAGGTTATAAGATTTACTGGTGAGTTGTACTTCCTGGGTATGCCTATGTGTAGACTCTAAGTTTTTTCTGTTTTGCTTTTTTTTCAGATTTATTTTTACTTATTTGGAACAGAGTTACAGAAAGAGGTAGAGACACAGAGAGAAAGGTCTTCCATCTGCTGGTTCACTCCCCAAATGGCTCCAACAGCTGGAGCTGCACCAATCTAAAGCCAGAAGCCGGAAGCCAGGAGCTTCTTCCAGGTCTCCCATGTGGGTCCAGGGGCCCAAGGACTTGAGCCATCTTCTGCTGTTTTCCCAGGTGCATTAGCAGGGAGCTGGATCAGAAGTGGAGCAGCCAGGACTTGAACAGGTGCCCATACGGGATGCTGGTGCTGCAGGCCGGGGCTTTAGCCTGCTGTGCCACAGCGCCAGCCCCGACCCTAAGTTTTCTACCTCTGTATGTATTTCTTGTGAAATTACTCCTAGAATTTTAATTTTTAAAGATTTATTGATTTGAACGGCAGAGTGCCAGAAAAAGGAAGCTCTTCCACTTGTTCGTTCATGCCCCAAATGACTTCAACAGCAGAGAACAGGCCAGACTAAAGCCAGGAGCCACGAACCGCATCCTGGCTCCCACAAGGATAGCAGGAAACCAAGCATTTGGGCTATCTTTGTTACCTTCTCTGGCACAGCAGCAGGAAGCTGAACTGAGAAGCGGAGAAGCTGGGATCCCAACTGGCACTCCAATACAGGAAGTGGGTGTCAAATTAACCCACTGTGCCATAATTTAAGAACCCTAGAGTTCTGGGGCTAGTATTGTGGCATAGCAATAAAGCTACCACCTGCAATGCCAGCATCCCATATAGGCACTGGTTCATGTCCTGGCTGCTTCCTTTCTGATCCAGCTCCCTGCTGACAGTCTGGGAAAAGCAGCAGAAGATGGCCCAAGTGCTTGGGCTCCTGCCACACACGTGGGAGACCTGGATAAACTCCTGGTTCCTGGCCCAGCCCTAGCCATTGCAACCATCTGGGGAGTGAACCAGTGGACACAAGATCACTCCCCTTCTCTCTGTGTAACTCTGACTTTCAAATGAATAAATACATCTTTTTTTAAAAGAAAAATAATAGAATAAAAACTGTAGTTTTTACAGAAAGACAATTAACCCACAATCTAGGTTAGTCTGTTTGCAGTTATTTTTCACTGTAGATAAACACAGATTCAAAACTCCAGGGGTCCACCATTCTTCCAAGGCTACAGAAGCACAAGAAGCACAGGAGGCAGTGCTGTGGCACAGCAGGATGTGTGCCAGCACCTGGGGCGCCCACACCCGTGTCAGGGGCCCAGTTCAAGTCTCAGCTACTCTGCTTCCCAGTTCAGCTTCCTGCTTCTGTGCCTGAGAAAGTGGCAGAAGATGGCCCACATGCTGGATGGAGTTCCTGGCTCCTGGTTTCAGCCTGGCCCAACCTGGTTGTTATGAACATTCAGGGATTGAACCAGCTGATAAGTTACAGCTTTCTCTGTCTCTCTCTGTCTCTGTCTCTCACACACACACACACCCCTTACATTTAAAAAGAGAGAAAAGAAAGAAATACAGGATGAAGCTCCAATCTCATGGGGATCCCAATCCAATAAGAAAGCTCACCACGCAGGCAAGTGTTCTGGCACCGTGTTAAGTACGCACGCACGCACGTGTGAGCACACACACACACACCCGCCCCGTGCGATGTCAGCATGGACATCCCTTATCAGAGTGTCAATCCAAGTCCATGTTACTCCACTTCTGATTCGGCTCCCTGATAATTTGCCTAAGACATAGAAGATGATGCTCAGGTCCCTGCCTCCCATCTTGGAGACCGGTATGGAGTCTCTGGCTCCAGCTTCTGTCTAGCCCAACCCTGGTCATTGCAACTATTTGGGGAGTGAACCAGTAGATGGTGTGTGTGTGTGAGACTCTGCCTTTCAAATAAATAATAAATCTTTTT